CCCCCTTTTGGACATCTCTGGATCCGCCCATGCATCCTTCGAGAAGAGTGTGCGTACCTCGATGTACAGGTCCATTTATCCCCTGTTGTTGTGGAGACGCAAGTTTGAGCACACACTGAAATTTCCGCTCGGACAGGCCTAGAACCTCCTGTAGTCCGACGAACAAAATTGGTCGTCGGATCAAAAACGGTAAAAATATCATGATTTGCTTGTTCAAATAACTTGGATTGAAAGCACATTTTGGACCATAATAAACCATAAACACTCTCCCCGTGAACCTACCAGGGATTTTTTCCCCCGGGCCATCGATCGAGGATTTCCCGGCCTCTTGGTTCTGACCTCTCCGTCGGACACGCCGGACCACTAGTCTGCAGATTTCTTGCCCCACCGCTGTTGGCAGATCAAACTGAAAATTTTCTCTTTAATTAAAGACATCTTTAAAATATAAAGTAGTCTTATTGCAGTTTTTTTACACACTACATATTGAATATCGATAGTGTTATTAGGGCGGTGACGTTTGTATTGTTATGGATATTTGGCTAGAACGAACTTGTGTGGCTACTACAGAGAAATAGTTTAAGAATCAGGAAGAGACAATAATCCATTCTAAAACACTTTAGGATAACACATTAAAACATAATGTATTATAACATCCCTGGTTTTACGCAGACCCAACAGACATACTTAAGAACCTGTCTCTTATACACATCTAGATGTGTATAAGAGACAGAGTAAGTTCTTGGGAGAATTACGGTCGAAGTGGATCACTCATTATTTTTTTAAAGCGAAGGAGATCAGGACTGTAAGATTTTACTTGCTCTTTATTTTTTTCTTAGTGGTCAATGTCAGTTACCAAAATAATTGATTCATTCCAACCTGCAATGCGTTCTGATTGGTATAGCGCTATAATACAGCATTTAAATCCGGCGGAAGGATACTTCCCCCTTTTTACTGTTTAAGAAATTACAATGCTATAAAATAATGTACAGTACACTACATACGTGTTTAATTATACAGTAGGCTACGTTTAGGTTTAGTTCTGCTCGTCTCTGGAAGACATTCTCCGCTGATTAAAATGGCCAATGATCATAAAGTGAGCTTGCAAGAATGTACCCGACTGATATTGCTGTTAATTGCCTTTGGATCAGGCATTGCAATGATTGCCATGATATCAAATTCAGAGGTATGTGGAACGTATGTAGTAGGACGTATATAATAAGAATTGCAGCAGTTAATCTTTAATTTCTCGTCTCGAATTCGACACACTCAAAAAATATTCAGCAACTTTGTAATCACCTCTTCATTGTCTTTCTTTTTTTTTTAATTAGACCTATTAATATCTTAAGATTAATATTTAGACTTTTACATAATTAACTGTCTAAACGTAGACATATATCACTAGATCCATACAAATCGTTGGCTCTGTCTTTTTGTCGCGTTAAATGCTTAGTTTATAATAGTTTTCAATGAACAGGTCTATCACCTGACTGTTGTGTAACACACTGCACTGATAATCAGCAAATAGCAAGAAACATCACTCCTAATGGTTTTGTTTAAATACCGAATCGTTTACAGACCTTCAGTAAACAGTCAGAAAAATCACTCTTAACGGATATTTCGAATCCCGACTCGTTTACAGACCTACTGCAATAGTATTTAATGTGAGATTCGTTCAATTTTGGTCTGTTTCATGCTCACGGTTTTAAAGACCAAAATCTGACACACAAAAATGTAATGCAAATATAACATAAGTAATATACGGTATGAATACTATTTGTGACCTTTGTAGCCCCCTTTGTAACAGTAAATAAAATACCATGGGGACAACATGCTGACTAGCTGCTGACCATTAGTTATGTGTGTTTAAAAAGTGCTGTCAGAATTATAAACATCAAATGACGTACGAGTACACTGCCAGCTCATGCCAGGTTAAACAAAAATTTTTTTCTGGAAATGCATGAATTCTCAAGTAAAATGGATAAAAACAGATTCTGAATTCATTTTAAGCACATTTAAAAAAATAAATTGTCCGGGGTGGAGGGGAAGAGAGGGTTTGATCTTCTTATCCATAAAGTGGAATTTTCAAGAGTCTCACTGCCTTCTAACTTGAAATTTCTGCTCTTACTACTTTTGCACTTACGATATTTTCTAACTTGTTTTTAAATATGTTTCTGAACTTTAAAAAAAAAAAAGATGTTTCCTAACTTTGGAGCGCCGAATAAAAATCCACTCACTTATTTACTAAAACACATGTAAATGTCTGGAATAATTTCATCTAGAAGATATTTTTCTGCTAGCAGCTTAAGTTAATATAAACAAATAGTAAACGTTGTTTCTTCATTACTTTCCCTGAGATAAATTGATGTTCCATGAACAACAATCAAAATAGAATATATAAACTATCTCTAAACATTTAACTCGACATACTTAAGAACTACAGCCTTGTTTACACTGGCCACTTTGTCGTGGGTTCGATACACACCCGAATCACTTGCGAATTTATTTCGCTATTATTTGGGGACGTACTGAACATTTGGTACGATAACACGTCAGGTAGGGCAAAAATCACTCTTATGATAGCTTCCTGACGCAAATTCATATCTTAATAGCATTTGCAGTACCTGCTGATACTAGGGGATAGGATTCATCACTAGTCACCAAACGCAAGTTCGGTGGTCTAGAGGTTAAGACATCTGGTTAAACACATGGAGATCGTGGGCTCGATTCCCACCCAATCACTTGCGATTTTTTTTTCGCTAGTATTTAGGGACACATTGAGTATTCGGTACGATAACATGTCAGGTGGGCAAAACATCACTCCTATTTTGTAATTTTTATAAAGAAAAAATGATATATTATTTAATTTAATTTATATTATTTATAAACCTTATAAATAGAATACAATTGCATTCTAATAAGCATTTCTACTTAATTGTAGTCGATATCCATGCACTATCAAAACTAACTGCCTGTTGTTCTGAATATTGTTTTTAAAGAAATACGGTTGTGTTGTCCTATCCGAGGTTAAATGGTCTCGTTGCGGCGAGAAGAATGATGTATATTGCTTTGATATTGCAAAAAAACCTTCAAGCTGTTCTTATCTCATAAATTCTCAGGGCACGGCTTGCTTTGTCAGTTGTCTAATTATGTTGTTTTTCTTAATACAACTGATTGTAAAGAAGGAATATAATCCAAAATGGTGAGTCATATATTAATTAAAAATTTTATTAGAATTTCAATATTAGACAAAAGACTTTTAAAGTCAGACTCCGGAGGAAAAACAATTATTGATATGTTGGAGAACTGATTTTTCTAAGAACAGAAAAAAAAGGTTGTTTGACGAAAAACTGAGAAATGAGATACACATTTTTGAATATTAAAAAACTGGGGGAAAACGTGGAAAAACGGATAGTTTAGTGCCTTTTACCCCAGTTTTTAAAATAATTATTCAAAAATCTGTTTCTCATTCACCGTTTTCCAGTTTTCGTTAAACAATTTTTTTTTGTCTTAAAGAAATCAGTTCATATATCAAACATTTTTTTTTCCGGAGCCTAATTTTAACACTGCGGTGATTGAAAGTCCTTAGTTTGAATGTGTTTATATTAGAACCTACAGTAATATTTGAACAAACAAGGACTTATAACAGTTATAAGTCCTTGATAGAAATAGATTTATATTATTTGAACAAGTTATTTTGCCTGTTACATATCTTTAATTGCCATAAATATGATATCAATTAAACATTATCTTTCCAATTATAAATATATAGGACTAATTATTTTTGATTCACAATGATTCTGAAATTAAATTTGAGTAACATTATCATTAAACATATGCGAATGTGCGAACATACAAAATACACCTTATGTATATGTTTGTGATAGTGATTCTAAAATCTTCTCAAAGTATTCAGTTGATAATTGATTATAAACTATATCTCTTGATTCCAATTTTTGAAATCTGACACTTTAATTTCTTGTTTCTCTCTGATTCTATATTATTTTATTTCCAACAGGAAATTGAACAAAATTATTACTTTTGCCAGGGTTTTGACCAGCTCATAATGATACCGAGTATTACTCGATCAATGCCTGGCTCAGCATTGAAACTTTTTTGGTGTGTCAGTGCGCATGTTTTGTAGAAGACTGTCATAGTCTAGTGGAATAATTGGTTAACAAAACGTAGATTTTTGTTAAGATTTTTTTGAAAATATGTGAAATAATATGGATCGGTTAGTAAAGCCAACCAGGAAACAAGTAATATACTGATTTTTCTTACCATTAGCTTGGGAAATGTTGAATATTTGAAACTTACACTTTCCATTTAGTTCTCAGATGTTCACTGCAGTTGTATCCTTAATCTTCACACTGCTTGCACTCGTAGGAGCATGCATTCTTACAGATACTATTCGGAAATTGTGTAAAGGACTTGTCGAAAGTGATATTGGACTTCTTGGAGGGTATGATTTATACAGTATTTGAAATAAATAAATAAATAAATAAATAAATAAACGAATGAATGAATGAATAAATGAATGAATGAATGAATGAATAAATAAATAAATAAAAAGATAAATAAATAAATAGATGATGATGATGATGATGATGATGATGATGATGACGATGATTTAAGAGGTTGTTCCCCTTCCAAATGATTTTTTAAAGATTAGGAACCTCTGGATAGCGTGAAATGACAATCACAGACTGTGTACATGTGTTCGCTTGGCGTGGGCCTATTTTTATATATTTTTTAGTCCGACTGCCCGACAAGCTCTGTCCGAAGGAGAGGACTTGACATGTCCGGTGGGGGGTGGGGGGTGCTTCGAACCATTGTTTTTTCCTTAATATTATGAGCCCGAGCAACAACATTTGTGCCAACCGCTTCTATGCACTAAATACAGTAGGCTATGGGTACCAACAGGGAAGGGTGAAATTACTAATTATTGATACGACTGTTCTTTGGTACCAAGTACAATTTGGAGCAATCACCATCTTGTCTACACATTCTTCGCCGCCCCTGCTTTACCTCTCGGTGACAAATCGATCAACAAATTGTTGAAATTTTAATACCTCATTTTATAATTACTCCCAGTATATTGCAATTGGAAAGTCTTCAACAAAAGTTCATATAGTGTACCTATTAGCCCGTACATAGAATCCCACAATCTATGGAAAAAATAACTAAAGTTATTGAATGATTTAAAAGGTTTGGCTATCTTTAAGCACTAAACTAACCATTATGAATATCACAGGGAACGATCTTCCTGGTAATATATACATTTTTAAGTGTAAGTATATGCATAATCAACAATGCTTATGAATTTGAAATGCAATATGCAGATGTTTAATCCTTAAATAAAGTTATTGTATATAAATGGATGGGGTGTATGTGGATGCGTGGGTATGTATCATTACACTTTATCAAGTTTGTAAAAATGTATTTTTATTATTGCAGACCATGTGAAGATTATCATTTTAAAAATAAAGATGGTGATGATAAGCTATACTTCATCAGACCTCTAAAAGAGGCTAAGGTAATTTGGTAATTATAATTTTTATATTATGCCACTACATCTTTCAGCAACGCTTCCCCATGTCTCCACAAAACGACAGTGTAAACACATACGCAAATACATATGTTTGTGAGACACGTTTCTGGCCCTGTTCAAATTGGTCAGATGTTAAGCTTGATTGACACACCGGAATGGTCCATTGATATTTCTAAATTCTCGTTAAAATAGAAAACATATGCCCCGTAGGCATTATACTTCCCGTTGCTATCCAGGCCTCTTTCATCTTGATGGATCGATGTATTTATTGAGTGTGAAACATGAATGACACCCATGAATGAAGAAGATTCATTGCAAGTGGGGTCTTTATCCTGTTGTGATTGTACAGTACACCGGGAGACAATCCCCTACCCGTTTTTTTTTTTTTTTTTTTGAAGATAAGTCCACATGAGCCATAATGCACACGAGATTAGCGTACCACTTCAACGTCTCATACAAAAGACTGTGCGCTACCGTAACTTGCATTTCAGCCCTCCAGCTGAAATACAAGAGGAGCAGCGACAGGAATTGACCACGTGACCAACAGATGCCAACGGATTCAGAGCGCACACAGTGGTTACCACGAGTTTAGCCGAATAAGCTAAATTTCCCTCTGCCACCGGCCTTTTACCCGGTTTCATTTCACATCCAAGACGCAGTACTGTGACAGTAATGGCAAAAGGCTGAGTGGCAACTCGACATTTTCTTCATAAATTGGTAATAAAACGGCACAAACCCCAGTATTGTATCCGTAGAAACGACTGATCTTCAGTGTGATATACGGCAAAAGGTTCTTAAATAATTAATCCAGGAGTAAAGACCGTGTTTCAAAGAATTTTTTTTTGTATTATTAGTGATTGATTAAAGTTGTTTTCATGAAATACATTATTGCAAATTTATTTATAGGCGTAACCTTTTTTTCAGACTTCGTCATGGATTTCATGTTGTTGCTGGTTGTTTCTATTTATCATCCATGTAATGAAGATAGTAATCAAATCAAGATCTGAAAACATACCAACAAACAGACAGCATCAAGTTCAGGGGAAGCAAAACGTTGATATTATAATATAGTTAGAGACACACCCTGTAAAGGCACACGTGTCACGTCCCCAGAATGTTCAGATAATTAGCTTTTTATGAGTTAGCAAGTCAAGTCATTGGTTTTTTTTATGTTAAGTTTTGTATATATGTGTATTGTAATTATATATATATATATATATATATATATATATAATGATTTCTGGCAAATTAACATTTCGATTGCTACGAAGAAGTACTTTAAAATGAAGTCAATTACCATTTTATTACATAGAATATCTATAACTTAGGACATTTATTACGGAGTTCCGTTTTGAAGTGCTTAAGGTGTAAGAGAGATAAAACAAAATTCACTATAAAGTCATATATGAAAAACTTTACATTTTAAGTTCAATTTAAAATGTTTTCATTATGAATTGTTATGTACAGCAACAACAACAACAACAACAACAATTAAATCAACAACAACAACGACGGCAACAACAACAACAGCAACAATAACAACAATAATAACTTGACCTACTATGTCTTTGAACAACAGAAAATAGGGCTTTAATGAGAAATAAAGTTGAAAATGCAACAAAAAGAAAAGTCGTTAAAAGGTATAAAGTTACAAAACCACGGAAAACCCACATGATTTTAATGATGTGGGAAAAATAAAGTGGGAAAAAAAAACCAAGTTCACTGCGACATTATTTGGTGAGAATTGAACTATGACTGCAATGATAATAGCGAGGCACATTGTGACCCATAACCATTGCGTACTATATGGACCGACCATGTATAGGAAAGTGCATTTTCCGTCCATAGAAATTCAATGGCTGAATACAAAAATTGTTCATGCATATCACTGTAGGTTTGAGTTTAACCCAGCTGTAACTGGTTTAAGCGCTTTAGAAA